GGCCTCAGCATGGCCGGAGAAGCAGCGCGCCGGTGGGAGCCCGGGATCCGAACTCGGGTCGCCAGCAGTGGAGCGCGCTCACTTAACCACCAAGCCACGGGGCCGGCCCATAAACATCAATTTTAATAGAGGGATGAGCTGTTTTTGAGATATTTGCTGTATATTTCTACACTAAATTACCTCCAGGCTCCTATTTTTCATTTTCTCTGAATAAATTTTATAAAAATATTTGCCTTCTTTGCTCTCTTACTAGACCCAGTTATTTTTTATTGTCACTAATGTTTCTGTTAGAAGTATTTTCCATAGGCTTTTAGTATGTAAGCTGGCAAGCTGATATAAGTCCTTTTTCTTTTCTTCTTTCATATACTATATAACTAGTCTGGTTATAAAAGTATATAAAATAAGAGCATACAACCTCTAAGTGAAGGCCTGATGGTTCATTTTAAAGCTAAATGCATTGGTTTTCCTGTAAATCTTTTGTATCTTCAGCCTTTCTTTACAAACCTGATTGTTGATATTGTCAGATAACTGATTTCTGGTGTTATGCTGTGCGTGTGTGTGTGCAGGGAAGATAATGAAAGATAATGAGTGTTATAATAGCAATATTTTAGCAATAGTTAGAATTTCTCCTGAAACGGCAATTTCCGCAAAAATTAAGTGCGTGGTTTTTTTTGGGTTTTTTTGTTTTTTTTTTTTTTGGTGAGGAAGATTAACCCTGAGCTAACATCTGTTGCCAATCCTCCTCTTTTTGCTGAGGAATATTGGCCCTGGGCTAACATCTGTGCTCATCTTCCTCTGCTTTATATGTGGGATGCCTGCCACAGCATGGCTTGACAAGCGATGCATAGGTCCTCGCCCAGGATCCGAACCTGCAAACACCAGAGCACGTGCACTTAACCACTACACCACCAGGCTGACCCTGAGTAGTTTTGTTGTTTGGGTTTTTTTGGTTTTTTATTTTTTCCTGTGAGGAAGATCAGCCCTGAGCTAACATCTGATGCCAATCCTCCTCTTTTTGCCAAGGAAGATTGGCCCTGGGCTAACATCCGTGCCCATCTTCCTCTACTTGATACGGGACGCTGCCACAGCATGGCCTGGCAAGCAGTGCGTTGGTGCGCACCCGAGATCCAAACCTGCAAACCGTCAGGCCGCTGAAGTAGAGCGCATGCACTTAAGCGCTGTGCCACCGGGCCAGCCCTGGGTTTTTTTTTTTTAAAGTGGGTTTTCTAAGTTTTTTTAAGTGGATATGTTTTTAAGTGGGTTTAGTTTTCTAGAAACTAGTCCTAAAACTTTTCATTCTGCATAACCCCAGATTCTTGTAACTGTGGTTAAAGTTGCATCACTAGTAGTTGGAAGCACTATTGTGGGTCTGTGTTGTTTTGGCCTTGAGCCAAAATAATTTTGAAATATTTAAAGATCAGAACCAGTGCTATGAGTAGCAAGTCAAGCAAATTTTTCTCTTATTGTCTTCCAGGACCCAACAGTAGTGATTGGCTCCGGTTTAACAATGGAAGAAATGATTTTTGAAGTGGCTGATACACATCTATTTTTCAATGACTTAGAGGTAAGCATTTTAAATTGTTTCTGTGTTTCAGTGAAACATTGTTCGGTAACTATTTATTGAGCCTGTGCTTATTTTATTTAGAGGAAATGTGGTTAGACAGGGTGGGTATGGAGAGGCAAGCTGGCCACTTAGGCATACGTAGGCTTGCAGGAATAGTGCTTTGGCTAGGTCACCTCAGTCTTGGTTCTGGCCCTCAATTTTATTGGCTCAAAAATTTGATTTTTGTTAGCCTATTTGGAAGTGATCTAGCTCTAGGGGAAATGCCAACCCGTCAGGCAAAACACTGATACATAAACCGACATTCCAATTTATTCATCTGTATTAAATAATATATAAGGTGGGTTTGATTGTTTATGCTCTTAATTATATTTTGACTGTTCTTCAATTTTACCTTCTTAAAAGATGGTCTCTTGATTTGTCAGATCTATAAATGGCTACTCTAACTCACTGTATTTTGTACATGCTTATTATCCATGTATAGATTAGTCTTGATGTCAAGAATCATTTTATAGTTAAGTGCAAGGAAAACCAGGAAACACTGAGAGCTTCTTGGTGAATTTTTTTAGCTTTGACATTTGAGTTCACCTTTGAGATGAACATGGTATAGTAGAAAGAGCACAGGACTGGGAGTCAGAAGACCAGAGTGTGAGTCCCAAGTTAGGAAAGTTATCTCCCCGTTCTGGACCTCAGTTAAGCAGTTATCCTACATAAGAAACTAGTAGCAGTTGTTCCATCTGGGGAGGGGAATGCGTTGCTGGGACACAGAGGTGGGAAGGAGCAAACTTGTCACTTCATGTCCTTTTGAATTTTGACCTATGTACTACGTATATTACCTAGTTTTTTAAAATAGTGAAAATTTTAAAGTAAAATAAAATAGCATTTTATAAACACAAAGTAATCCTATTTCTTTTTAAATAACAATCTATTTCTCAACAGACAATTCTCCAACAAATTGAATTAATAGGGCTCTAAACTCCAGTACTTTTGTCTAAGCTCCACAGTACTTTAATCTTCCCTCAACTTCACATGTTGATAAGTTAGGACATCATAGTTTTTATTCAGCAAACATTTATTGAAAACCTACTATGTGCCAATAATTATTGCCAAATTGTATTTGTAATGATTTTCTAGACATAGTCCTCACTCAGGACTGAAAGTTCTGTGAAGAATTTGACCTGAATGTGTTCCTGCCCCCAGGTCAGTGGTTCTCAACTTTAGGGGGCATAAGAATCACCTGGGGAGCTTGTTAAAAATGAAGATTCTAGGACTTCACTCCCAGAAAGTCTGATTCAAGTAGATCTGGGATGGACCCAAGAATATACATTTTTAAAAAACTTCCCCAGAGGATTCTGCTGCAGGTGGACATCACAACACTGCCTTAGGTGGTGTCAGAGGAGTGAATCTGTCAGAGTTAGGCAGTGGGTGGCATTTTATGTCAGTAGTAGCATGGGCTTGGTGGAAAGAACCTTGAACTCAAATTAGAAGACTCAGGCTCTTTCTAGTTTCATTTTATCCCTCACTAGTTGTATGACCTTGGGTAAATCATTTCACCTCACTTTTAGAACATGAGGAAATTGACTTAGATGACCTCTTCTAACTCGTAAGTTTGAACTTATAAATTTCTGTTTCAGTCATGCTCAGTTTTGATACCACACTCTACCAGCATCTGTTTCATCTGCAAAAATTTACTGGGTACATGCTATATAATATAAGGACACTGGACTGGACTAGAGGGGTACAAAGATGTAAGATATGGGCCATGCCGTAAGAGGCCTACAACATAATAGGCCTTACAGTCTAGTATAGGACATAAACACACTTGACAGTCTAAGGGAGCTTGTACTTATACCCATGAGCTGTTGGAAAAATGAACTATTGAAATAAGAGCATAACTGAGGGTTGGGATGGTTAAGGAAGTTTTCATGAGGAGAGAACATAAGGTATTTCATCACCCCATCATTATTTGTGGTATTTTTATAATATGTCATGGTAGTAGTAGCACTTCTTCTCCCTGGACTGAAATAATGTGTGATTTTGTCTTTTAACAGGAGTGTGACCAGGTGCACGTGGAAGACGTGGCTTCTGATGACAACGGTCAAGACTTGAGGTGATAAAACAATAATGTCTTTAAACATCAGTATACGTGTTACACAAGACACTGTTTAGGTTCAGAGGAAAACAAAGATGAATAAGACACAGCCCTAAAAGATATCATAGTTAATGATGGCATGCAGTGTGAGAAGGTGATAATAGAAGGTGTGATGGAGCACAGAAAAGAAAGTAATTCTGATGGGTGTGGGGATCAGGTGGTGCCGACATTGGGGCAGCCTTTTCAGTGCAATAGAATTTGAGTACAACCTTAAAGAATGGGTAGCAATCATGGGATGAGGAAAAAGCATTCCAACGTAAAGGATATATTAGTTTTTCCTTGGCCAAATTTTCAGTCAGGAGAAGTGTGCTTCCAGACTAGTTGGGTTTAGATGTAAATAAGCATCAGGAATTTTACCAAGAAAACTAATTGTGGGGGTCTGATGGTGTCAGGAATAACCCTATGGAAGACAATCTTAAACATATCACAGTGAATACTAAACTAAGGAGGTTCAGTGGCAAAATACTTGCTCATTTCTCTCTTCGCTAATGTCTTCTTGCCCAGTAGTCTTAGCTAAGAATAATCAAAAAACTTGTCTAGCTTATATTTAAAGACTTTTAGAAAAAAGACTGTCACGTCTTTTTGTGTGAATTTATTTTAATGTTTATCTTTTTCGTAAGCAAAAAGTTCTTCCTTATGTCTACCCTAAAATTGTTTGTCCCTGAATTCTCGAATCGAGAGCAGAACTGGATGTATCACTTAGTAAGGACCTAATCCTGTAGTGCTGAGAAAGATTGAAAGGTTTCACTTCAGGAGCAACATCCAGTCATGCATATTGTGCATTGCACAGACCTGGAGAGCACCATTCTTACGAGATTTTACTGGCCTTTTTAGGAAAAAGCATGGTCCGAAGCAGTTTATGATCTACTTTGAACCCTAGTTGTTGTTTTTTTTTTTGTCTTATATGTGTGACTAATCAGTAGTTGCCTACCCCATGTCTTGGCAGCTTTATTTACTTAAATATAGAATCTCACACTTAACTTATTGAACTTGATTTTGTTTTGTTTTGTTTTGTTTTTATAATTTTATTTATTTATTTATTTATTTTTCCCCCAAAGCCCCAGTAGATAGTTGTATGTCATAGCTGCACATCCTTCTACTTGCTGTATGTGGGACGCGGCCTCAGCATGGCCAGAGAAGCGGTGTGTCGGTGCGCGCCCGGGATCCAAACCCGGGCCACCAGCAGCGGAGCATGCGCACTTAACCGCTAAGCCACGGGGCCAGCCCTTGAACTTGGTTTTGACTTCTGATTGAACCAAGTAGTCTCTAATTCTGTCAGTCATTTTTTTTTCCTGAGGAAGATTCGCCCTGAGCTAACATCTGTGCCAGTCTTCCTCTGTTTTGTACATGGGATGCCACCACAGCATGGCCACCGACAAGTGGTGTAGGTCTGCACCTGGAATCCGAACCCAGGCCGCCGAAGTGGAGCGCACTGAACTTAACCACTAGGCCACAGGGCCAGCCCCCTGTCAGTCATTTTTAAATCTTTATTTAGAAAGTATTAATCCCTCCCAGCCTAACTGTATTGCTTATCTATTGCTGTATAACAAATTACCCAAAGCTTAGTAGCTTAAAACAATAACCACTTATCATCTCATAGTTTCTGTAAGTAAGGAACTTGAAAGTGACTTAGCTAGGTAGTTCTTAATCAGGGTCTCTGAGATTGAAATCAAGATATTGGCTGGAGCTAAAATCATCTGAAGGCTTGATTGGAGCTGGAGGGCCTGCTTCCAACCTCTCACATGTGGCTGATCACAGGAGGCCTCAGTTCCTCATTATGTGTGCCTCTGCATGGGGCGGCTTGAGTGTTCTCGTTTGAAAGCTGACTTCTTTCAGAGCAAGTGCTCTGAGAGAGAACAAGAGAAGCCTAGTATTTGAAGTCTAACGCCGTCACTTCCACCACATTCAAATCCAGTCCATACCTAAAGGGAGCAGAATTCGAAGAGAGGAATATTAAAGAATTTGTGGACATATTTTAAAGCCACCACAGTGACCCATGAACTTAATAAATTAGCCAACAGATCACTTAAGGAGAACATCCCCATTATCTTACTATTATTAGTATTTTGGGTTACTTCCTTTCACTGTTTTTTCACGTTTCTCCTTTTTACATATTTGCAACTATTTTGTGTGTGTGTGTACACAAAAATTTTATATTTTGATTTTTATTCACTGTAAGATGTCAGTAATGTCATTAATGGAAAGATGCTTTATCAGCCAAGCCAGCCTCTAGGGGATGCTGTGCGTGAATTGTTCCTACTCATCCCTTCTTCTCCATCCCTTCTTTGAGGGGTGAGATATAGGACTAATGAAAGATAGACTCTAACATACAGAGATTAAGGGAAAAGATTCTCAAAGCCATTAGCCTTGATGTCAGATGCCAGGAAAAGGACAGAGTCCCAGGTGGCATTCAGCCAACAACCCCATGCGGCATAGATTTTAATTTTTATCATCCTCTTTCTCTGCAGCAACTACAGTTTCTCAACAGATGGTTTCAGTGGCTCAGGAGGCAGTGGCAGCCATGGTTCCTCCGTGGGTGTCCAGGGAGGTGTGGACTGGATGAGGAAACTGGCTTTCCGCTACCGAAAAGTGAGAGAAATCTATGATAAGCACAAAAGCAACGTGGGTGGTAAGTGTGGCGTATGATCAGTCTAATATTCTATTTCCTTCTGATTTCCTGTGTTCTTTGCCAGGGATTCCTTAGAACTCCCTGGCAACTGCTTATCAATTTATGCCACAGTAACATTTTAACTCTGTATAAAAAAACATGGAGATTTGAATGAAAGCTTTTGGGGAGGAAGCTCTGCACTTCTCATGGACCTCTCTTAGCATAACTTTACAAAGTTCTCTTGTTCTTTTTAGATAAATGTCTTTTTAAAGGAAATGTTTTCCATAGATTATGTTTAATGACGTGTTTTATTCTGGAGTCAAAACTACTGTCAATACTAGTTAATAGGTTGCCATCTTTTTTTAGACTGATTTATATAATCATCAGGACAAGTCATGTAGAACTAGTGATTAGGTTTATAGTGGATGGAAAACTAGGTCCTGAATTTTAGGTTGGCAGTATCCATGTGTTACGACTTGAAGGACCTTGGAAATTCTTGCTGCCCAGAAATATCTCAAATGTCAGGTGCCGCTCTGCCTAAAATTCTGTTATTTGGAATTAATTAGCCATAGATTGTTCAAATTAGAAGAGATATTAGAGATTTAATCTAAATCCCTTATTTTGCATTTGAGAAAATTGATGTCCATCTTGAGGGTGATGAGGGCAGCTTACCCACGGTCACATAGAAGATATTTAAGCCTGTGAACCATCACCTTCAAAAATCTACATACATACAAAATGTTGCATGAAGTTTCAGGCATTCCATAGACTGCCTAGAGGTATATTACCCCAGGTCAAGAGAGCCCTGCCAGCGTATCATGCTGCCTTACAGTGCGGTGCAGAAAGTAAAAATAGGGCTTCCAAGATCAGTTTGCTTCATTCCTGTTACAGCCCTCTAATACCAGATAAAAATCACAGGCATCTGGGCTTTGGGAATCTAATTTACTTTTATAGGTTTCTCTTTATATTGCTTTTTTTCCCTCATGATTCAGAGCCAGGACTTTTTATTTGGGCAACTCCAAGTCTTTTTCCTTTTCCTCTCATAGACATTAGCCTTTCTTTTGTTGGTTTTCATATATAACCTAAGTATCTGATCCTTTCCCTGCCCATTGAGTGCTTAGACCTGGTTTTCTGAAGAAAGTGATATAACCCTCTGTGAGAATCCCCCGAGCCTACCCTGGGGAACATATTAAAAGTAATGTCCACCTATATTTTGTAAAATATGAATTAAAAGAGGTACTACATCATATTGTTAGTTAAGTATATGGCATATGTATACTATGTTTATATCATACGTAACATATAGGTACTAATTTTGTTGTTGTGTTTTGTCAGAAATGTTGAGAGTCATCTGATTCTAGGCTTGCATTGTGAAACCATTAACCTGAAAACAAATTTTACGCAGTTCTACTCCTCATAGTAATGCCTTCTGTTTTTATGAAGTATTGGTAATAGAATACAGGATTTCTCTTTTTACCTTCAATACAGAAAATTCAGGGCCAGGTTTATTATTTTAATATTATAACTCAAGTGTCTGATAACATGCTCCCATCAGATGAATTCTGTTTTGTTTTGTGCTTAATCGTCTGATCTTAAGTAGTGTTTTAGTCTCTTATCAGCTGGAGTTGTTTCAGAAGTAAGTATAGTACAAGTAAATGACATTCAAGAGACTTGGTTATTCACCCTGGAATCTCAGGTTGATGGTTTTGAAAGGGGTGAAAGCACAGTCACCATGGGAGCAGTGTGTGGTAGTGGAAAGACTTCTGAGACCAAAAGCCGCTAACTTGCTGTGTAATCTTAGGCAGCTCCCTTTTCTCCCTGGGCTTTGGTTTCTTTAGAAAAAGATTGGAAATACAATGGACTTTTCCTGCTATAACACTCATTTTTCCCCCCGTTGGTTCTTGATATCACTTTAAAGCAGGGCTACTCAAAGTGTGGTCCACCAGTCTGCAAATTATGCTACTGGTTGGTGATGAAAGAAAGAGCTTGTGCCAGAATCTAATCACAATGTTTCTATCAGCTGATTTTGTTGTAGTTCTGCCCCCCTAGCAAACATTCTGGTAAAGAAAGTCAAAAAGGCATTTTGAGTGGGCTACTCTATGGTTTTACCAAGAAGAGAAATATATTAGCTCAGTAGAATGACTCACTATTTTTAAATTGAATTTAGAAGTTGCTTCCTCAATGTCAGCAAGGATATGTTGTCAAATGATAAATGTGTCTGCTTTCATTCTCAAAGGCCTCCTCAGTCCCCAGAGAAAGGAAGCACTGCAAAGACTAAGAGCAGAAATTGAAGTTTTAACAGATTCCTGGTTAGGAACTGCATTAAAGTCCTTACTTCTCATCCAGTCCAGGTATGGAAATGGTTCTTTTAGGTCTCATTCTCCCAGAGACACACCCTTTCCAACCCTAGTCCAGAGTAAGCCATTCCCTAAATTACGGTTTGGGATAGGGTGAGAGGAGTTTAAATGATGCAGGGAAGTATTTAGGTTAAGTGAGAGGCAGCACTTTAGAGTTTTAAGAGAATATTTATATATAAAAGCCTTTTTCTTTCCCCTTACTTTTTGCTCACAAAATTAAAACTTAGTAACCCATAATCTCCAGCTCAGGAGATGGGCCTGGTGCTATCAAAGAATACACGCAGGAGACATATCACAAATATCCTAAGTACCGGAAGCTCCAAAGAACTGTACCAAAACCTACTCAGGAAGGAAGGATTCAAAAGAAAAAGGGTACAGGGGCCAGCCCCGTGGCGTGGTGGTTAAGTGCGTGCGCTCTGCTGCTGGCGGCCAGGGTTTGGATCCCGGGCACGCACCGATGCACTGCTTGTCAGGCCATGCTGTGGCAGCGTCCCACATAAAGTAGAGGAAGATAGGCACGGATGTTAGCCCAGGGCCAGTCTTCCTCAGCAAAAAACGAGGGCGATTGGCATGGATGTTGGCTCAGGGCTGATCTTCCTCACCAAAAAAAAAGAAAAAGGATACAGTAAGCAGATTAAGGAGATTTGAGCTTGAAGCTTAAAATGGGAAATAAATCCAGTCATATATATACCAATACCCTTATTGCTCCCTCCCTCAAAGCGGGAATTCCAGATTCACAACCTAATAGAGTAAACAGTAAAACTAACACTGAAGGGTGGATATCCCTGAAGGTAAAGGACATGTGAAATTAATGCATATTCTGGAATCTATGTTGCTATTGTGTGAAGAACAGAGAGGACTCAAATCATATCTCACTTAAGGGCTGAGTTGCATTCGGATGAAATAGCACTGTAACTGAACGTCTTTGTTGTTTGTTTTCTAGAGTATGGTATCAGTGACATGGGTTGGTGGTATTTAGTGACAAGTGCGGTGAGCTAGAATGGTCAGAACGGAAGTGAGGCAAGAATCAAGTTGCTACTATGTGCCCACTATAGAATCTCTGACCTTTAATATGGAAAATAAATGAATCCAAGATAATTAGAGCAATAACTAAATATTGACACTGAGCAAATATCATACCAGGCCCTTTGACGTTAATTTTTAATAATTAGATCCTAAAGAGAAGACCCATTTGAATTCTTGCTCCCAGGTTGGTTTGGTTTCACCTTTTTCTTTTCTTTTCCCTCTTTCTCCCTTCTAGAAAAAATTGTGTGAATGTTCTGATCACTACAACCCAGCTGGTTCCAGCTCTGGCCAAGGTTCTCCTATATGGGCTAGGAGAAATATTCCCCATTGAAAACATCTATAGTGCTACCAAGATTGGTATGATTTCTATTCTGTTTCTTGTCACCGGCCTTACAGTAATACTTCCTACTTATGATGTACTTATTATTTACCAATCCTTCTGTTAGGCACTTCATATATATAATCCTCACAGCAGTCTTCTCCAAATATTACTGATGAGGCAGTTTAAGCTTAACAGCTGTGTAGCTTTCTCAAGGCTTCACAACTAGTAACTTACATAAACAGAATTCAAATCCAGGTCTGTCAGACTTAAAACTTATCATGCTCTTTTCCTTTATAATATTTGAAAGAACATAATATCTAGTTTAGAAATCTAATTTTGCCTCATGTCAAATTTCTCTTTCATGGAGAGAGTGCTGCAGTATGGTATAATAGAAAAAGCACTAGATTAAAAATCAAGGACTAAGATGTATACTTAAAGTGGCTAAATCACTTATACCCATTAGGATGGCTGCTATCAAAAAAGCAAAATAACAAATGTTGGCGAGGATATGGAGAAATTGGAATCCTTCTGCACTGTTGGTGGGATTGTAAAATGGTGTAACTGCTATGGAAAACAGTATGGCAGTTCCTCAAACAACTAAAAATAGAACTATCGTATGATCCAGGAATCCCACTTCTGGGTATATATCCAGAAGAATTGAAAGTAGGATCTCAAAGAAATATTTACACACCTGTGTTAACAGCAGCATTATTCACAGTAGCCATGTGGTGGAAGCAACCCAAATATCCATCAAATGAATGGGTAAAGAAAATGTGGTATATACCTACCTACAGTGGGCTATTATTCAGCCTTAAAAGGGAAGGAAATTCTGTCACATGCTACCACATGTATCAACTTTGAGGACATTATGCTAAGTGAAGTAAGCCAATCACAAAAAGACAAATACCATGTTTCCACTTATATAAGGTACCCAGAGTAATCAAATTCATGGAAACAGAAAGTAGAATGGTGGTTAACAGGGGCATGGGGGAAGGGGAGATAGGGAGTTGTTTAATGAGTATAGAATTTCAGTTTTGCAAAGGAAAAAGGTCTGGAGATATGTTGTACAACAATGTGAGTATACTTAACACCACTGAAATGTACATTTAAAAATGATTAAGATGATAAATTCTATGCTGTGTGTTTTTTACCACAATTTTTTGAAAAGGCAAAAAAAAATAATAATAATGAGGACTAGGGTTCAAGTCCTAGCTCCTTCTCTTACTAGCTCTTACTTTAGGCAAATTACTTTATCTCCTGAGCCTTGGTTTTCTCATTTAAAATGAGAAACTGCCAGACAGGTTGTGAAAATCATGTGAGACTGTGTATATGAAGGTACTTTTTAACCCCTAAAAATATTTTCAGTACCAAGTATAGGAAATAGTAGGTACTCAATAAATACTTGCTTAATTAATTGGCACCAAGTTTATACAAAACCAGCTTGTTCTGCTGAGAAGACAGCAGAATGTCTGACTAATCCTTATGTGCTGCACATAGTCCAGGGAAAGTGGAGTATGACAGCCATCTCCTTACCCGTCCATATTGTTTAGTCTATGCTTACAGTTCCTACTTTCCTACTGTAGCAAAGGAGAGGGTCCTAGAGTCTGAAGATGAGCTATGGTTATTCGTTTTTTAATCTGCTACATACCTGTTGATCAGCTTTATCCATAAAAAATTGGTCTAATTTTTTTTATACCTGAGGATCTGTGGAAGTTATAAGCCCACCAAGTCCTATTGACATTTATTTTTCTTCGTTCACCAAGTATTTATTGATCACCTTTTATATGCAAGGCATTTTTCTAAGTACTGGGGATATAGCAGTGATCAAAAAAGACAAAAATCCTTTCCCCTAGTGGGAGGAAACAGTCAGTAAACAAGTAAATAAGTAAAACAGACTATGTTAGATGGTGACAAATGCTGTGGATAAAAATCGGTCAGGGAGAGAAGATCATGTTTTAACCAGGATAGTTAGGGAAGACCTCAGTGAAAAGTTATCTTTTAAGCAAAGACCTAAAGGAGGTGAGGGAGTTAGCCAATAGCATTTACATGGAGCAGGAGCATGCCAAGGAGAGGGAACAACAAGTGGAAAAGGTTGGAGGCATGTTCAAGGAAGAGCAAGGGAGGAAGAATGTTGGGAAATAAAGTCACAGAGATCGAAGGAGAGGGTGGAGAGATCCTACGGGTCCTTATAGATTATCGTAAAGACTCTGGCTTTTATTCTGATGAAATGCTGTTTTAAGCTTTTGAGTAGGAGTGACGAGGTCTGACTTACACCATAAACAGATCAGTCTGGCTGCTGTGTAGGTTCTTGAGGAGGATAGCTGGAAGTCAAGTTAGGAGGTTATTGTAAGAATCCAGGGGTGGCAGTGGAGGTAGTAGAACCAAGGTAGTAGCAATGGAGGTTGAGAAGTCATTAGTTACTGATTATATTAAGAAGGCAGAGCTCCAGGATTTGCTGATAGTTTGGATGTGAGGTGTGAAAGAAAAAGAAGTTAAGGATGACTCCAAGGATTTTGGCCTAAGCAACTCAAAGGATGAAGATGTCATTTACTGAGGTGAAGAAGGCTATGATAGAAAGATTAGGAGTTTAGTTTTAGACATAAAGTTTGAAATAATTTTTAGGCATCCAAGTGGAGATGTCAAGTAGGCAATTGGATATCTGATTCTGGAAGTCTATGGAGAGGTACTGTCTGGAGATAAGTAATTAGGAGTTCTTTGTGTACATGTGATCTTAGGTATAAGATCATAGGAATGAGCGCAGACAGAGAAGAATAGAGATCTAAGAACTAAGCCCTGGGGCCCTCTGTTATTTAAATGTTTGGATCTTAAGGTGAAACCAGCAAAAGTGTCAGAAGGAAAGGTACGTGAGGTAGGAAGAAAACAAGGAGAATGGTGTCTTGGAAGACAAAGGAAGGGAAAGTGATCAACTCTAGCAGATGTTGCTGATGGGTCAAATAAGACCTGGAAATTGAAGGTTGTTTTTAGCTAGATGGAGGTCATTAATAACTTTGACATACTGTTTGAGCAAAGTGATGGAGATGAAACCCTAATTGGAATGGGTTTAAGAGAGAATGAGAAGGGAGGAGCTGGAGACAGCAACTAGATGACAACACTTGAGAAGAGATCTGTTGTAAAGAAGAGCAAAGAAATGAGGCAGTAACTGGAGGGGTATATTGGCTTGAGAGGATTTTTGAACATAAGAAAAATTATAGCAAGTTTATATGTAGATGGAAATGATCCCCTAGATGAGGAAAGATGATAATGGTGCCTGCTGTGTGTCAGGCATTGCCAAAGCACCAGGAATATAGCAGTGACAAAATCCTCTGTCCTTATGGAACTTACCTTCAATCACTGGTGCTATGATAATTGGGTTATCCAGATGGGGAAAAAGGAAGAATTGTATTCCTTCTTTACACTGTTGGCAAAAATGAATTCCAGGTAAATAAAAGAACTTAACATGACTGGTACAAAAACAGACACACAGATCAGTGGAACAGAATTGAAAGCCCAGAAATAAAACCAGACATATACGGACAGCTAATCCTCGACAAAGGAGCTAAGAACATACAATGGAGAAAGGAAGGTCTCTTCAATAAATGGTGCTGGGAAAACTGGACAGCCACATGCAAAAGAATGAAAGTAGACCATCTGTTATCGCCATTCACAAAAATTAACTCAAAATGGATCAAAGACCTGAAGGTGAGACCTGAAACTATAAAACTCCTAGAAGAAAATATAGGCAACACACTATTTGACATTGGTCATAAAGGAATCTTTTTGGATGCCGTGTCTACTCAGACTAGGGAAACTAAAGAAAAAATAAGCAAGTGGGACTTCATCAGATTAATGAGCGTCTACATGACAAATGAAACCAGGATCAAAATGAATAGACGAGGGGCTGGCCCGGTGGTGCAAGCGGTTAAGTGCGTGCACTCCGCTGTGGTGGCCCGGGGTTCGCCAGTTCGGATCCCGGGCATGCACCAACGGACCACTTGTTAAGCCATGCTGTGGCAGCGTCCCATATAAAGTAGAGGAAGATGGGCACGGATGTTAGCTCAGGGCCAGTCTTCCTCAGCAAAAAAGAGGAGGATTGGCATTGGATGTTAGCTCAGGGTTGGTCTTCCTCCAAAAAAAAAAAAAAAATGAATAGACAACCTACCAGCTGGGAGAAAATACTTGTAAAACATATATCCGACAAGGGGTTAATCTCCATAATATATAAAGAACTCGCACAACTGAACAACAAAAAAACAACCCGATTAAAAAGTGGGCAGAGAAAATGAACAGACACTTCTCTAAAAAAGATATAAGGATGGCCAATAGGCTTATGAAAAGATGTTCAATATCACTAATCATCAGGGAAATGCCAATCAAAACAACACGTAAGATATCACCTCACACCCGTTAGAATGGCTATAATCACCAAGACAAAAAGCAACAAATGTTGGAGAGGATGTGGAGAATTGGGAACCCTCATACACAGCTGGTGAGAATGCAAACTGGTGCAGCCTCTATGGAAAACAGTATGGAGAGTCCTCAAAAAATTAAAAATAGAAATACCCTATGATCCAGCTATCCCACTACTGGGAATCTATCCAATGAACCTAAAATCAACAATCCAAAGAGCCTTATGCACCCCTATGTTCGTTGCAGCATTATTCACTAGCCAAGAAGCGGAAGCAACCCAAGTGTCCCTTGACTGATGATTGGATCAAGAAGATGTGGTATATATATACAATGGAATACTACTCAGATAAAATCCTCCCATTTGCAACAACATGGATGGACCTGGAGGGTATTATGTTAAGTGAAATAAGCCAGAAAGAGAAAGACAAACACCATATGATTTCACTCATATGTGGAATATAAACCAACACATGGGCAGAGAAAACTGTATAGTGGTTACCAGGGACGTGGGGGGTGGGCACAAGGGGCGAAGGGAGACATGTATATGGTGATTGACAAACAATAATGTACAACCAAAATTTCACAATGTTATAAACTATTAATACATCAATAAAAAAAAACTTAACATGAAAAGTAAAACTTTAATATTTAGAAGAAAATATAGAAGAGTATCTGTATGACCTTAAGGTAGAGAAGGATCTCATTTAAAAGACCCAAAAAATAGTATAAAAAGAACAAAAAATTATCGTTTTGATTGCATGAAGCTTTTAACTTTATATACCACGAAAGATAACATGAAGTGACAAGGGAAGCCACAGACTGGGAGAAGATATTTGCAACACATTTACTTGTTAATTAGTATACAGAATCTATAAAGAATTCCTGCAAACTGATAAGCAATAAACCAAATAATAGAAAAGTAGGCAGAAACCTTGAAACAGCCAATTTGCAGAAAAGGAAACCCAAATTGTCAGTAAACATATGATAAGTTCCTTAACCTCATCAATTAAGGATCTGCAAATGATGGAAATGCAAATTAAAATGTGATGCACTTCCCATTTATTAGATTGAGAAAAATTAAATATGACAGTGCCAAACTTTATCAAGGAAATGGAAACACTCTGCATATGAGATTGAAAATAGATATAACCCTTCTTGGAGAATAGTGTATCAATGTCTGGTAAAATTTGAGGTGTGCATAGCCCTTTGATCAAGCAATTCCACTTTTAGATATATATACTGTAGTGCAGGGATCTGCAGGCTATAACCCATGTGCCCAATTCTGCCCACTGCCTGTTTTTGTAAAGTTTTCTCAAAACATAGCCATGCCCAATCATTTCCATAGCTACTTTCACACTACAGTAGCAGAGTTAAATAGTTAGATCAAAGATCATATGACCTACAAAGTCTGAAATATTTACTATCTGACTCTTTACAGAAAAGTTTGCCAACCTCTGCCCTTGAGTAATTCTCATGTGCACAAGGAGACATGTACAAGGATTTTTTTGATGGCATATTGTTCATAATAGAAAATAATTGGAAACAGCCTATCCATGAACGTGTCTGTGAACAGAAAATACATCAGTGGATATATTTAAACAATAGAGTACCATACAGCAGTTAAAAGTGAATGAACTAAAACTTCATATATCCATAAGGATGAATATGAAAAACAATGTTGAACACAAAAAACACATTGCAGATAGATATGTACAGTATTTAACATTTATGTAAAGGTTAAAAATGTTCAAAACAATACTGTATATTATTTATGGATATATACTCAAAGAGAAAGGAGGGAAGAAGAATGGCATCAGGTAGGGAGACTTCAAATAAATCTGTAATATCTCATTCATGTATTTTTTTTATCTAAAGCAACTACAAAGTATTAAGATTTGACAAAGCTGGGTTGGTGGTAGGAATACAGGCATTTATTTTTATTACTCTCCTTTCTTTGTATGTTGAATTATTTCATTTACAAGGGATTTAGGGGAGGAATATGTCTGAAACCCACCCTTCAGATTTTGCTGTTGTTGCCACTGCCTTACTATGCCTTTCACAAGAACCCAGAGCACTCACTAAGCCTCCTGCATCTGAAAGGTAGATTTTCTGTAGTGCTCGTTATACGGAGTCCTGGCACCCAAAGGCTCATCAAACTAATGGAAATAATTTTATTCCCTCTAACAGTAAGTGTGCTTATTTGGTGATTTTCCTCAGCCTCATTTTGTCCAGAGCCAATTTGCGAAACTACAGTGGTACCTGGCACCATGGTAACCCCAGTGAGAGGCTTGAGGCTTTTCTTCTTTTCTTCACAGAACTTTGAAATGGGAGCAAGGAGAGGAAACATCTGTTCAGTTCCTCTGAAATGATTTCAGAATTGTGGTTCTCTTAATTGCCACTCTCTGATCTTGGACATTAAAGAGAATTCTCAAAATCATTTCTGAAAATGTTTTTGATGAGGGAAACCCAGGAACCTAAAGCTCTCCAAAGGCTTGATAGGTTTTGCAGTTATCAATTCAGTTGTTTAACATTTGGTAAGCTGACTAGTCATTGGCCTTATTCTCCTGAACATGAAAGCTCATCTCTGGGATTGTTTTGAGAGTGTAAAATGGAGGAAATATATTTACCAACTGTATTGGAGTCATTTTTTCATGTAGTTACTTCTTCACTTTGAGCTGTTAATAACTCAGTCTCTTGGGCCGGCCCCGTGGCTTAGCGGTTAGGTGCATGCTCTCCGCTGCCGGCGGCCCGGGTTCGGATCCCGGGTGCGCACCGAGGCACCACTCCTCCAGCCATGCTGAGGCCGCGTCCCACATACAGCAACTAGAAGGATGTGCAGCTATGACAGACAACTATGTACTGGGGCTTTGGGGGAA